CGCGCGCGCCCCACACCTTTTTTTTTTTTTTTTTTTTGATCAAAGAGGGAGGCATATATGCATCTCAAAATTACATCGCGGTAAAGCTGTACGCTGTGTGTCAGCACCTGGCTTACCTTTTTTGTGTTGTTTCGCACAGTCGCTCTCTTCTCTGGCCCGACAATCTATTCGCAGTGGCGAAAACCGTCAATTCAAGTCGGCTATCCAAACCTACGTCAAACAGCCCACCCGAACCACGCTCGGCTCGAATCTCTGTACGTGCCTGGTCCAATATCCCGTGCCTGGTTTGCGACAATCAGCAACCCGTGCTCGACTCATGGACATGCTCTCTTTTTGCTTAGATTTCGATCTCAATATTTGTAAGCAGCATGGTTTGGAACTGCCCTGCCCGTCTTGGTCGGCCGACTCATCTGCCAGTGCACTCCGTTCCTCGTTGGCCCGGGATAGCTTGCAAGGACATGCGCTTCGTTTCTGGAACAACCATGCTGCCCAATGTTTCCATCGCCTTTGAGGTGACCTGGCGCTCCGTGGTCTTCCTTGTTTGGCTTTTGGTCTTGAAATGTTTCTCCGGCAACATCTAGCCTAACCCTTGTCATCTGTGCCTTGTGTCGTGCACAGCGTGCCTTTGATGACACAGACTGGGTTAATCTAGCCGAGACAGAAGTCTTGAGGGTACGTGTGCCTCGCTACACGGACTTGGCATCACATTCAACTGACCAGCTCGTTTTGGCGCTTGCGCGGATCTTAGGAGGTGAATTCTGGCCAGTTTGCCACTGTGCTGGCCGTGAAGGAAAAACAAGTCATGGGTCACGGACCGCTGCAGCTGCGCTTTGTGGCAAAGCACAACACGATGCGCCGGCAGACAGCAGCCAGCATCCACACAGATTCAGCAGAAGCCATGCAGGATACCCCGCAGCAGGACCAGCGCATTCTGGGCGCGTACAATATGACCTCAAGTGATTTCCTGGAACGAGCCAAAGAAGGCGCGACCGGGCTTATCCTCCCCATGCATAATGACGATGGCGACATCATCGGCAGCGTGCGCGTCGACATCTTCACAAGCAAGCCAGATCAGGTGGTTCACGTGCGCATCTGCTTGGCAACCCGACCGCAAAGCTCTCGTCTTTGCTCACCCTGACTTTTGATCCTTCGTTTGCTTGACCTGCAGCCGTCATTGCGTGATCCTACCGTCGAGGTTTGTGTGTTGTGTGTATCCTTCTTCTAATGCATCTATCTGCGAATGTGCCTCTCCGTATTCATCCTCACCTGAAACACTTATTGGTCCGCTCAGGACACATCGGTGCAAACCAGGCCTGCCATCTACCCTCTAATGTCCGACGAGGGCATTAAGCGATTGACACGCGTCCGCACCGCCACGGGTGAGGTGCTTCAGCTTGAGGAGGTGATGATCGAGTCCAAATTTGCCTTTGCTATCCCCCTGCAACTCTTGCGCATCTTTGTTGAGGAGGACAACTTGGAAATGCGACAGCTCGATTCGCTGGGCTCGCTTCTCGGCCAGGTCGGTTGGCTTTTTAGCTCCGTTTGAACGAGGGCAGCTGCACATGTGCTTGATCGGCAATCGCCCAAGGTCTGACCTCATACCGACTTCAATTCGTCCGGACGCCAGGTGCAAGCCGTACGCCAGCATTATCTCAAACTGGCCATGGATCGCAAAACAAGCTATCAACAACAGTCTGCCTACCTCGATGGTCTGCGCGACAAGACATTCAAACCTAGCGTTTACAAAAAGAAGCCAGAGTGGGCCATGGTCACGACCAATCTGCACCTCCAAACCATGTCCTTGACGGCACTCTCGCCTGATTCTTCTCACGCCGTAGCGTCGCGACGCGGCATTTTCTCTTGCCTCACGCACGGCTGCTTCGCGGCCCACATTATGGGGTTTAAAAAACGAGGTCTAGCACACCTCAAACGGGATCACGAGCGTGCCCTCAACTCTCTACCCATGGACCCTGACGAGACGCAAGACGAGTTTTATCAAATGTTCGAGCGCATTGAACGTCTTATTGTGCGTCTACACTCGCGTTTTTTGTTTCCCAGTCCTATCATGCCGTGTTCTCAAGTCTTGTCCAATCCTTGCTTCAACATTGCCACTGGTGCCCGCTGATATGACTGTTGTCTTCTTGTTGCTCCTGCTGTTTGCCGTTGACCCTACAGGAGGAGCTCAAAGCGCAGTGCCGACAAGGGTTTGAGGCAATGCAGAATATTGGAGAGGCTTTGGCCGAAGCCGTGGACCGCTTCACTGCCCTTCTTAAGAACGAGACTGTGGAGTGGCTCCTGCAGCATGCTGCCCCATGCATCCCGCAACACGCAGGCAATAGTAATGTGCTGGAGGACTTTCAAACGTCCCTTTTTGTCGACAATGAGCGCTTTCGCCGGGCTCTCAAAAACCGTGAGTTGGTTGTTCGTCTTTTCAGTGCTCCTCCAACAGCATTTTTGTCGTCGCTCATCTCAACGTGATTGCCCGCTCTCTTTTTCCTGACCTTGCCTTCTTCAACCTCAACAGAGGACATTGCCAAGGTGAATGATTCCATCAAGGCCATCGAGTTTAGCGTTGATGCGGCTTACCTGCACGTATCAGAGTCATTGAAGATTTGCAAGTTGCGCGCGCTCCAACAACTTTTGGACACGTCGGATTTCATCATGCGGTCTGTTTGTCCATTTGACTTGTTCTTGCGAGGCCAGCAGTCGCCAACTCCCTTTCTGAATACAAAGCTGTTTGTGTGAAAATAGGCGTGATATTGTCATTAGTCAAGCCTTAACGACGCTAGTGGCTTCCCTGGTGAGCCAGATCGAGCGGCTGGGCATGACCCCAAGCTACTGGCAACAGCTTGAACGCGTGGGATTTGGGTTTCAAGTTAGCAGCTTTCTTTCGACGGCAGGCGACGAGGACAACATGCTTGAGGACATGGTTGTGGGCATGGATGACCTCAAAAATATCGTCATCACGGTTTGTGACTGCCGAGCCGCGACGGTCGTTGTCTGTGGCTAAGCTCACGCAACTTTTCTTTCGGTGTTGTCGTCTTTCTTTGACTTGTAGGTGAGCGCCGTGGACGGCTCGGAATTTGATCCCGTCATTCGTGGTCGGCGATGGAACTTTGAGCTCGACGTGAGTTGGTGTGACTGCCTAATTATCATTTTTTTTTTCCTTGGAGCCATGGATTGGCTTGTGAGTGATGTCTTGGTGATTCCACATTGTCTAACATGCGAGTTTTGTGGTCGGTGATAGTTGGGCATCCCGGTGCAATACTGGCCCTCAGTCACGGAGAATCTCAAGCGCGGCCAAGCCATGGCTGTCTATCCAGTTCTTTTTTCACAGGTTGGTTGGATGGGGCCAGCGTTTTGGTCCCAAGATGCAAACGCACTGGCTTGCCTAACAGACTTACCCATGTCATTGGCGCAGGGCGTCAATGAGATGCAAACGATTGCAAATCTTGTGGGCGACTCGAAAATTCAAGATGTCATCAATCGTCACGGGTACGCAGTGCGATGTTTCGGGACACGTGCCCGGAACCTTCGTGGTCAAGCTGTTCCTGGTGTCTGAGCCTTAATATGAACACACTACCGGTTTTGTCGGTAGATTTGAGGCAATGCGCGAGTATGCAGAGCGCTACATGGCCGCTTTTCCCGACGACCCCAACTGCTCCGCCATCCGAGAACACATGCGCATTCTGCATCAGGTCTGTCATCTCAAGGAGTGAAGCGCACGTCTCTCAGCGTTCTTCTGGGACGCACATGCTTGGGCTCGCGCAAGTCTGATGCCGGTGCACGCGTCTTGCGCATCTACAGGAGGTGGCAACGCGCGGACGCACAAAGAACGTCGAGATGCTGTGGCAGGCTGAACGCCTTGCCCGTAGCATGAACATGGGGCGTACCACGTGCTGTAAAAGCGGCAAGGTGAGCGCGCCTGTAGACGGTAGCGCACGGCATAAGCAAGCACAACGCTTTGTGCAAGCAGGTGCTCTTCCATATCGTCGGCTCAAGTGGAGCTTGTATGCCTGGCTTGGTCTCGAATAGGATCGTACGTCCATGGCTGTGACCCTGGAGGAGGTGACGGTCATGCGCCAGTTCTATGAGATTGATGAGATTACCAAGGAGTCGGTGTGTCATGCTTTGGGGCTTCCCTCGCCCCCTTTTTTCTGTTCGGCCAAGCCTGGCTGGCTGTTGGCGTGACTTTTCCTTGACCACATCCCCTTTCCCCGTACCAAATGCTTTTTGGCAGGTTCTTTCCAATCTGAGATCCAAAGGTGTGCGCATTGAGAATGTACTGAAGAACATTGGTGAGAAGCGTTATGCTTTCAACGTGCTTCAGGTGCAGGCACTCCCTGCCATGCTGCGGCCCCCGGATGGCTACTACGGCTCGTCCACCACCTAGATGGCAGGCGTGCGTCAAAAAAAAATAATATCATGGCAATTTGCGCACAGCCCGACTGCGCTGCCTGCTTGCACGCTGGGCGTGCTATTCCCCCCACACCGTTGTCTTTCTCGATCACATTTTTGGCCCTTCTTTACCACGGACAATTGAGTGGCCTGCTCATTTGAAGCATATCTCTATGACATTGTTTTTTTTCCAATTCCGATCATAGTCAGAGCGACATCTCTTTGTGGCCTGAGAATGCCTGCTTGGCTGCCTGTCTGACTCATCCACGGTTTCAACGGTTGATTCGTTCATGCGTTCAGTGATGCTGACAATCAAAAATTCTTGACGATACAGACAAATCAAACGACTTTTTTTTAAAAATTTGTTGATGTTTTACTGAGCTGAGCTGTGTGTGGCTTTGACTTTCATTGGAAGAATGGCAGCGTCTTGGCTCGGGGTGTGGGTCGTGTCAGCTGTGCTAGGCTTGGGTCTGGTGCAGGCCGCCACGCTGCCGCATCTGATTTTATTTGTGGTGGATGACATGGGCTGGTCCAACATTGGCTACCACAATCCCAACGTGCACACGCCCAATTTCGATCAGGCGGCCGCCACTGGCGTCAAACTTGAGCGCCATTACGGATTCTGGTAAGGCTGCGGGATCTGACGGTAGACCGCCCAGAAAGCTGGTTGGATTCGACGCAGCAGGCGCTGAAAGCTCACTCGTGTCTTTGCAAACCGGCCTCAATCAGGTACTGCAGTCCAACGCGTAGCTCGCTGATGACAGGTATCTCTTTCGCCGGTATTTTAACTTGGGGGTCTGCCAGTGGGTGATTGACCAACTTTACTTGCTCGCCGGGCTGCAGGTCGTTATCCGCTTCACGTTTCGGAGAACAACGACTTTGCCGACACGCCAATGGGCGCAGTGCCGTAGGTGTCTCGTCGGTCCAATGCATCACGCGTGTGCCCATCTGAAGAGCCGGAAAACTGGGTGACATCTGGCTGATTTTCCCCAGCGTTAACATGACAATGCTGCCCAAAAAGCTCAAGACGGCTGGCTATGCTACGCACCAAGTGAGCCATTGCGTATTGAACCCATTTGCTGCATCACGCTTGTGGACTTGCCTTGCGCTCGTTCAGCAGCCCTTCATCGAGCGTTTGCTTAGGTTGGCAAGTGGCATCTCGGTCAAACACACGTTGGAAATACACCGGTGGGCCACGGGTTTGATTCTTCTTTTGGGTCAGTTCTTGTCCTTTTGAAAATGATCATCCCAACCCATCGTTCTGAGTTCTGTGTAGCTGAGGTCTCACATGTACGCGGGTAGCTACTTGGGGGGTGCCGAGGATCATTGGAATCACACCAACGGCGGCTGTGATTGCGGCACAGCCTTTGACATGTGGAACTCGACGGCACCGGCGTACTCTGTGGCCAATGACGGTTTGTGCTTAAGTCGCGAGCTGGCACCTTTTCTGCGTTCCCAAATTCAACACACATGGCTTCCTACCAACGGTCTTGCAGGCATCTATGGCGACGAGCATTTTTGGCGCCATGCCGAGCGCATAATCGAGGCTCACGACCCGGCACAGCCGCTTTTCATGTATATCGCCCTCCAGACCATGCATGCGCCTCAAGAAGTACCCTCAGCGTACTCCACTTTGGTTTGTAGCAAAAGCCCGGATGAGCCGCCAGTGTTGCATCAGACACGCCGATTGTGTCTTCAGCCTTTTTCTTTTTTCATGCCACGCTCACTGCAGCTTTGTATCTCGCAGTACAACGGTACCGAGAACTTCAATGTAGAACAGGGGATGGCCACATTCGCTGACGAGGTAATGTTCCACGCAAGTGCGAATGACCTCGGCACCGCTTTCCTCACCTTGCCGCCAAGTCTCACCAGTGGAGCTGCTACGGGCTTAACAGGTGTATGGCAACGTGACTGCTGCTCTCAAGGCCAAAGGCATGTGGGACAACCTCCTGCTGGTATGCCTGTGACAGCTTGTGCCTCTCAATCCACGGTCTTTTTGTTTCTGCAGTCGTGCTTGTCTGCAAAATGCTTACCAACGTGTTTGCACATGACATGTGTTCCATTCAGCTTATGACTTCAGATAACGGCGGACCAGCTGGCAGTTGCGTGCGTTTCGATATCCCAACGGCGTGAGTGAAGCACATCAAGCAGGTACTCATACTTGTTGTGGACGAAAAGGTGTCTGGATCCATGGCCAACAACTATCCTTTACGTGGAGGAAAACGCACAGCCTGGGAAGGTGGCATGCGCGTCAACAGCTTTGTTCAGGGCGGACTACTGCCGCAAGCTGCGCTTGGAACCGAAAAGCATGGCTACATTCATGTCGCAGATTGGTAGGACCGCTAAACCATTGTTCTCAGTCTTTGCCGAAGACACCAATAATTTCGAGCTCACCACAACGTCACGGTTGGCGTGCGTAGGTATCCTACTTTCGCCAGGCTAGCTGGTGTGTCGCCCGATGACGTTGTGCCAGGCTTCCCTGCCGTGGACGGCATGGACATGGTGGGATCGACCCGCCTGCTTTGAACAGCCATATGGTTTTTTTTTGGGTAGCCTCACTATTGCTGCTTCTTATGTTCTTATGGCCAGTGGGAGTACCTGGTTACGCCCAACGCTACTTCGCCACGCACGGAGATGCCTCTGGCCTCTGGACCAAACGGCGCTTTAATTGTTGGGCAATACAAGCTCATCCGAGGTTCACAAGGTGGGAACGAATAGATGCTCGGCTGATCATTTTCGCTTCATCCCAAATTCATGATGCTGTGTCGGTACAAAGATTACGCCTTTTGGCAGGGGGAACACTTCCCCAACACGAGCACGCCGAGCACAGGGGTTCCGTGCCAATCCTTTGACTGTAAGGAGGGCTGTCTCTTTGATATCATGTACGTGATGTCAGCCAGCCACCCCTTGCACACTGCCCCGAGATTCCCACCGCTAACTTGCCGTCTGGACGTGGCATCGTGCGCACGTGTTCGGTGGTCTTGACAGCAATGACCCTACAGAGCACACGGACATTTCCCAGTCCAAACCAGAGATCTTCCAGCAAATGCTAGCTCGTGCGGCCAAATGTAAGACCGCCATTCCCGTTGATGACGTCGGAATGTGGTTCTCATCTCATCCATGGGGCGTACGTAGGGGATCTAAGTGCATACAACCCAGAGCGTGGTACAAACGACAAGCAGCTCTGTTGCGAGTACATGAAGGCACACGAAAATTTTGTTGGCCCTGTCCTGCCTTGAAAAAAAAAACCACAAAAAAACAAACAAACAAAAAACTGATCTCAACATTCCAGTTTTTGTTTTTTCCCACTCTCTTGAGACCAAGAGTTTGGAGTGACTGAGGTCCACAATCGATTTTTGAGACCACAGTTGGACACGGCACCAACAGTCAGGTGGTGCCTTGGCTGACACACCAGGTAGCCACCTCGCCCAGCGAGGTTAGGAAGGTAAAAATACGAAACAGGCCGGATCAACACGAGTTGTACAAATCACCAACTTATTTGCCCTTTTTCTTTCTACAAAACACGGGCAAAGCCATTGTGAGCCACCAAAAAGGATCAGAACTGGATGTCAGGTCATGCGTTTGCGGCGGCGAAACAAATACACACTTGCTATCCTTGGTAGCGGCCGCGTCAGGTTCGGAGGCTGGTTGTTGGGCTGCCAATGCTTCAGCCTCAGCTTTGCGCCGAGCCTCGATGCGCTGTTTGTGAAGCGACAAAATGCTGGATGCTTGTACCAGCGCCTGACGATTTGTGTCGCGCATGGCGGCAAAATCAAGGACAATGTGCTCCTTGCTGGCATCGCGATTGCTGCGCTCAGTTATCAAGCCGGCATCCAGAGCCGACTGACGAGCCTGGTGTTCCTTGCACATTTTAGCTTTGGCAAGATCCCGCTGGAGCAGACGTCAGTCAACGATGAGAACGGCGGATAGGACAGGGGCAATGATAACCAACAAACATGGATAGAACAACTGTTAGTACAAAAAAAGGCCGCAAAAGGCAATCTGTACCTCAAGCAAATCCTTGTCACCAATCACGGGCTTGGTTACGTCTGCCCGTTGCGGCGTAAGCTGCGCCAGAATGTTGGGGTCAACCGTTGTCTCTAGCGCAGCATAGGCCTCCTACCAAAGCACGGCAATGCAACATAAATATGAGGGATGAAAAGTCAGTCCCAGTGAACACGTTTGCAGATCAAGTACCAGAGCCAGGTCTGAACTCCAACCTGTGCAAGCTTCTGACGACCGGGGGCTGCCGTTTCCCAACCGAGCAGGACATGGCGGATGGCCTCGTTTTGCCGGGTATCAGTCTTAAATTGAATGTTCTCCTGTGCCATCAACATCACGCCACGCAGCATGGAGTTAGTTTCGTAATGAGTTTCCAAAACGTGCAAGCAATGCCGCGCTAACTCACGGTGGACGCAAAGTGAAGCTGCCATTGAGGGCCTGCTGCATTTTTACGAGAGCTAGACTTGGCAGAGCGCTTAGAAGACACGCGCTCGTCAGCTACTGTTGCGTTGTCCAGCAAGCCTATGCAAAACATCTCGTCGCAAAGTGAGATCAGGGTGAGGTCAAGGAAAGAGCAAAGGACCAAAGCGACTTGGAAAAACAGTTGTCGCGGCTCGACGCACCAGGACTGCGTAAGATGAGGGCAACGGTGAGTGGCTTGGTGGGAAGGGGGCGTGAAGACGCGGGTCTACTTTCCGCAACTCCGGCCTTGGGCTCTTGCACGTCCTACACAAGTAAGTGGAGTAAGCAAGCACCGGGCGGACCCACTAATAACGCTTCGGTAAAGCGGCACCCGGGAATAAAAATGAATAAATACCGCACCGCAGTTGGCAAGAGGGAAGCAACAGTCACAACTCGAGTACAAGCTGTATCGTCATCGGACATTGTGGCTAGGACGGCACCCGAAAGCGCGCGCCATTCCACAACTAGCCGCGCGCGCGATGACGCAGGGACAAAGGCGTCCATGGCAAACCATTGCTCACGGCTCTGGAAGGTCACCAACAATCTATCAAACGTGGCGTGGACACAGCCGATACGAGCTAAGCAAAAGCTGCCGGTTCGACCTCGGAGGCTTTGGGTTCGAGCCGTGTGGGTGCGATCAAGCGTACTGGCAGAGCTGTGGATCACTGGTCAAGAAAGGGCCATTTTCGCGCACGTCGCGAAGAGCTGCAGTTGCGGCCACGTCCAAGGGCAACTCAGCCGAGGAAAGGGCTCGCAATCGCCAGGAGACAGCGCCCGTAACACCTCGGGCATTGACGCCAACTAGTAAAGAGTAGCCAGCTTCGCTGGGCTGGAGCATGGTCACAAGGCGGCCTCCCTCCATTTCAAGCTATGATCATCAGAACGCAAAGTTTCAAGTTGAGAGCAAGAAAGGGTCAAGGTGCGCTTATACATGAAGGGAGTCTTATTTGGAAAAAAAAAAAAAAAAAAAGAAAAAAAAAAGGAAAAAAAAAAAAAAAAAAAAAATAACATACAAACAATATTATTCAAAGCATGTCAAGGAGCAGAGGATTACATCGTACCGTGCGGTGCTTCTCATGATCAACGAGTACGCAGACAAGACTGGGCCAGCCGTGCATCGGCAGCTTGTGGCGTTCAAGGTGGGCAATGTGTCCGAGTAGAGCCACTTTGGTTGGAATGCTCACCGTGAAGCACTGGTGGTGCACAACAACAAAGTCGTTGCTATGATCTTCCTCGACCTCACCCGTCAGAGTCTTATTCTGCATGCCAGATGCGATGCAACAATCCATCAGCACAAGTTCATCAAGCATGGCGTAGAGGAGAGGGATGACACGGACCATGGCATATTCCGTTTCCTCATGGTAAAACGGTAAGCTGCGAGACACATCGGGAGCGAGTTCTTCAAAGCGACGAATCAAGGTGATGCCAAACTCGAGGCTGTTCGTCTAAAGGTCGAAAGGCAGCAAGCAGAATTCCGGATGTGAACTCTTGTGCTCTCCAAGCTGAGAAGACCCGTGCTTGGAACCTGTACAAACCTTAAGTGCTTGCCAAGTGGCGTGCACGGCTGCAAGTGCTTGTTTGTGCTCGTTGTCCAAGGCAGCGCACAATTTAATGCGAGCACGATAGCTTCGATATACACACTGTATAAGCCGTGCTGCTTCATCCTGGCAGAACTCCCTATGAATGAGAAATGTGCAAGTGCAGAGGCATGTTGATGATCAAGTCAGAAAAGCAACGATAACAAAAAAACCCGAAAAACAGGCAGACAACTCGACAGAAGGCAGTGCAACACGCGCGCTTGACAGGGCCTGAACGCACGGTGCAGTTCCAGAGGAAACTGAAGTGTCGGCAAGCGAACTCGTGTCATCGCGAACAATCACGTTGGGTGTATGACGGCGTGCAGGAGAGAGGCGATCCACGAGACCCTTGCTGCGGAATGATGAGAAGAGCATTGAGCCAAAAATTCGAACGGCCCCTTCCCAGCCTATTCCACGGCAGAGCCCACGGCCAGATTAGAGCACGAGAGAGACACAGACAAACATCAAGCGTATCTTGTGCTCGAATGGTGGTAGAGGCGCTGGCCTAACCTTCTTTACAGCCTGCCCACTTGTCGCCAAGAGCTTCCTCCAGCGTCCACAACAGACTCTGAATGGCTAGGTCGACGTGGACCAGAGAGCAACCAAATTTTTCCTGCATGTGGCGCATTTTGGGACGCAAAACGGCCTAGCAACAGAGCGTGCGCCAACCAAGAGCCATCAAGTCATGTCGTGCGGCGTTCGAAGGCAAATAATTTGAGAGAGTAATACAACCTACCTGCACAAACATCATTCGGTGGTCCGCCATGGCCGAGTCTGGCTTATGCTCCAAAAACGTATCCAACACCTGAAACAAAAACGAATCAAGGAATGATAGGTGCATGAGAAGATTAGAATAGAAATAAGCAACTATCACAGAGTGGATGTCCGCTCAACGGTCGGCGAGAGCGACACACCTCCACGACGTTGACTGCAGCATGCTGAAGGCGTGTGCATGGCTTCTCGTAAAGCGCCAAAGCATCAGTTTCCGGCAATATGGAGATTGTCTATGCAGGCGAGTCAGTGGAGAGTTTTGAGCCTCGAATAAGAGTATGCTGGCTGGCGAGCAATGAAACAGAGTGGGTGGAAATTTGGGGCTTGGAACGTACCTTGTCCGAGTAAAACACAGCAGTAGTCGCTGCGAGACGCGGCAATATTATGCGACACAGATGGCGGCCGGGTGGAAGCTGGAGCTTGACACCCGCTTGAGTGGCAGTGCGCACCGTGACCAAGGCCTGGGAACAACAACAACAACAACAACAGCAACAACAACAACAACAACAACAACAACAACAACAACAACAACAACACAAAAAACAAACACCAAACACACAAACCATCAGTCAACCAAATACACGTGAGTATCTAATGTAGAACGATGGTCTGAAGTAGTCTGGCAAAGGCACAAAAGGAGAAAAGAAAACAAATCGACTTGAAACATGAGTGACAGGCACACCTGGACATCGACGGTGTTCCGGTAGGGTGTAAAGGGCAAAAGAGAAAAGGCGACGGGATGGGCCACACGATAGTCCGGCTGCAAGGATGTGCTTGCATTCTCAGTGCCACTCGTCGGGCGCTCGGCAAGTTGAATGGCTGGAGCCGCAGCTGAGCCAGCAACCACCATGAAGAGCGTCACGGCCTCTCGCGAGTCGCAGTGAAAGTAAAAGGGCCGGTCTGCACGCACGTCCATATCCTACAAGTCGCAACCAATGGCTAGTTACTCTGCCTTTGACGACCAAGAAATCCGATCAACAGCATCATGAATAACGCAAGGCGGACACCAACCTCAAAGTCGGTGCGCGCCTCTGGGTCTGCATTGTCCACCGAGCGAATCACGCTAGCATGGCCCTTATACTGTTGTAGTAGCACGCTTTTGGTGCATATGGCCGGCTTTTCGTAAACTAGGACACGCCTGACAGACACAAAAGCACCCACGGAGACATATGGTCATAAGCCGAGTACAGAGCGAGAAACAAAAGCTTGTCCACAACCCTCGATGACACATCTTTGGCTGGAGGCGAGGTACGCACGTGGCAAGGTTGAAAAAGTCCGAGGCAAACATAAACTGGGGTAGGAGGGGGTGCGAAAACCCGTCCGGCCGCGGAGTGGCCCGTGCTGCCTGCTCCGCCAAAAGCCTTTCACGCGTAACGCCCAGTGCAGCTTGCACGCGTGGGCTCCAACCGGCATCTGCACTAGCTGCCAGTGCCCCGGTCCAGGTGTAAGAGGGTGAGGCGAAAACAACGATCCAGTTTTCTGGTGCCATGTATTCATCCTCGTCCACGCAGGCGTGTTGTGCCGATATTGGGGCACATCCCAAAAGGTCAACTAGAGCATCACGTAAGAGCCACGTTTATGTGAATTGGTCAAGCTACGTTGTGAAACGCTTCTGTTCAAGCCATGCATGGCGAGGAGTCCCACCTTCGACGGACGAGCCACGCTTGTCAGCAGGCTGCGGGTGCAAGATATGGGCCACGATTTGTCGACGATTGGTCGGAGCCAAAGTGGGCGCTTTTGAGCCCTGTACCACCGCTGGCTCTGGCGGGGCCGATGTGCCACGGGGCTCTGTCCGTTGAGGCGCTGATGCGCTCCCATCACGTTCGCCACGAACAGGGGTGGAGACACGGGAGCCACCCTTGGCTGATGGAAGCCGCGAGCCGCGCAAAGAGGGGGCTCCAAGCGATGAGTTTCGCCCACGTCGCGGTTCTCGGGCTTCAGTGGCAGGGGGAGCAGGCAAAGGCCCAACGGGTGAGGTGCGCTCGGCCACCGGTTCCTCAAATACATCCTCCGGGCTGTCTGGCACCACGTCGTCGGCTAGGATCGTCAGTAAAGCAGGGCGCTGCATATTCAGCCATTGCAAAAACTTTGGTTGCCTGGCGCCAAGGGGGCCAGCAGAGTGAAAGAGGTGGTGAGAAGTGAGAGTCATTGAAAGGCAGGTCAACATTGAACCGCTGAGGTACAAAAAGCGAGAGCAGAAAAACAGGTCAATGTGCGGGGCATTGCTGACACACCCGCTGCCCACGGTGGGTCGTCGCTCGGCTGGCATCCAGCCGGTCAAAAGGGACCAAATGTCAGCATCTCCGAACTCTGATTGCTGCTCTGAAGGGGTTGTGTAACTGTAGCTCAAGACCTTGCAGATTGCTTTGGATACAAGGGCTGGCCAGATTTCACCAGGCAGCGAGCTTTGCGGCAGCAGCCAAGTGCCCTCTGCGGTGATTGGGATCATGTCGTCAATGACAATTTTGCGCCACGCTCCCTGTGCACAGTCGACATTGCGATGGGGTTAGGGTTGCAAAGCACTAGGGGGCGGACGCCCTAGCTGCTGCAGCGATGGTCTTTGGAGAACAGGGTGTGTTCAAGGGACTAACCATAACGTAGAGGCGAACGACATATTTGCTTCCAGTGTTGACCTCGAACTTGTTCCCGCCGATATGAGGGTAGATGAGTTGCCAAGGTCGCTCATGGTGACAAGCTGGCAATTTGAGCACCAACATTGAGTGAGGGGGCAAGCCACGACTACAGCACCTTGTGCCATGCTCGTGCTCGTGCTTCGCAGATAACATACTGGAATCGGAGGGAGGCCGCTGCAGAACGGAAAATATCTGTAAGAGCTGAGTCATGAGGCCACTCTCAAGGAGGTGGGCATTGCATTTGACCAGGTCAACCCATGGCTCCTGGTAGTGGGTGACAGTGCTAATGAGTCGAGGTAGTTGCCACAGAGGGGGAAGAGGGCGATGTAAATGCGAGGAGGGGGGCGCGCGGCCAAACCTCTAGCTTGGGCGCAACTTTGAGCTTGCGCTTCTTCAGATAGACGCGCTCGTCCGAGCTCAAGTTGACCTCACGCTCAACCGGTTCAAAGCGCCGCGAGGCGACAATGCACAAATGAGCATTGGTATCAGGGGTTGCAACCAGCTCAGCGACTCGCTTTTTTTCATGAACACGCTGCGGGTAGGGAACGAGTTGCGCCAAGTGAGCATCTTAGCACAAGGGTGGGAGATCCGGCTGGAGCAGGCGGGCCGGACCGGCAAGAGCGTGGGTGGGAGGATGTTGTCGCCTTCGCTGTCAACAAACGGCCAGGTGCCTTTGTCCTTGCCTTTGGCTTGAAGATCCTGAAGGGGAGGGGGTACCAAGGGCGTGAGGCTAAGATACCGTGACGAGATCAGCGCTCCAAGGGCTCGAGACCGGCAGGGAAGCGTACGTTGAAACGCTCTTGCTGAATGTCAGCGTGTGAAAATATGGGAAAGACGCTAGTTTTGCGATCGCTCGATGAGTCGGGCGCCACGCTAGACGACTTTGGCCTGTGGGACATCCAGGTGAGCGAAGGTCCAAGTCTGACCAGTCGGGAACAGAAAGGCACCGAAGATTAGATCAAGGAGGCACACCGCTTGTTTTTCTTGCTGGACATGATTCACAGGTCACTGCTTCAAGCTATTTTGTCCGTGATTGACTTGATACCACCAGCGCAGCTGTGTGCCAGGCAAGGAAGGGGCAAGCAACCCCGTTCAGCGCAGCGCAGCCGAACGAGCGAGTGCTGGTGGGGAAGTTATTTTTTCGCTCTCTGGTTGACAGGGCAACAGTAAAATACAACAGTAGTTGTTCGTCGAATCCAACTTTCCATTGTCAGCACGTCAGGAATTGTCAGCGCGCAATTCGTGTGTGTGTGTGTGTGTGAAAATTCAGAGCGTGTGTGCGATGCGAGAAGGTCAAAGTCGGCGGGGGCGGTGCCTCAAGGGCGAGGTAGGGGATGTGTCACAGGAGCTTGGGGAGGATGCAAGCCTGGGGCGACGGTCGAGTCCACGGGCTGTGCCAATCCCATCTGCTGTTCTGGAGGTGTGCCAGCGCTTGACCCGTGGAGCTGAGCGCGGCCTACGACGTGTGGGTGATCCGACGGTGAGTCACCCCAGGCGCATGGTGGGCAAACAAGCGTGCGACCACGGCTGAGACTCATAGACGGCGCATGTGTTGCTTTTAACAGTTGACAGAGGTCCACTTTTCATGCCTAAACATCACGGATCCTGGCTACCAAATGCTGGGCGAAGCACTGGCGATCAACTCGTTTGTCCGCCACCTTTTGCTGCCCGACTGCTGGCTGACCACCGCTGGTGCGTGGCCGCGAGCTCGATGGCGCAAAAGCCATGAAGCTTTTTTTGTGGTACTTGTATCGACTAGTTCTCATATGCTCTGGATCCTCGCCTGTCCTGTTTTGGTCTGCGACCCGCGGAACCACGACAGGAGCGCTGGCACTCTTTGCCGGACTAAGTCAAAACACATCCTTGGTCTCCATCAATTTGGGCGAGAATCAGCTGGATGCAATCGCCATTTCGGCTTTTGTTCAGCTTTTGCAGTGCAGACCCAACATTTGCGACGTGTAAGTTTGACACGCAGATTCCGGGAGGCTTGCCATCTCGCTCAAGCTCGATTCTCGAACCGATGTGCCCTCACCCGTACCTTGAACGCCACCAAATCATGTCGGGTGCTGTTGACAGGTACTTGGACTGGGGCGTGACCAACCGGGCCGTGAGTCTCATGCCAAGCAGCAGCACACGCCTGCCGAAACTTGATTTTTATTTTATTTTATTTTTTAACCACTGGAGTCATCTGTCTTTGATGTTGGTTGATCTCAAGCCTGGCGTGTCGCCACAGATTAAACGCGAGATCAATCAGATTCTAGCTTTGCGGACTGGTGGTAGTGGTGGGGTACACCATGCCGGTATGCCCGTCGCCCTTGTTTTGTCAAACGACACGAGGTACAGGCACGACTGCTCATGGTCGTATGCAACATCTGGCGCAGGATTTCGAGGGGCAAGGCGCGTGGCATCGGCGGCCTCGAACCCAATTGCAACAGGTACGAGGGACCCAATCTGCTGCGGGAAGTGATGGCATGGCATATGTGCTCATCATACCGTCTTGTGGTGCGGAAAAGGCCAGCCGCAAGCCAAACGGGTGCGGAGGAGCCGTGCGGCTACACGTAGCTTCAAGCCCCAAGACAGCCACCGCTAAGCCATGCGCATGAGGTGGCAAGCACGGACCCTAGAGTAGCTGGTTGACTTGGATGCAGGCATCAATAAATACAAGGATATCGATTTCAACCATCTTCTTGGCGTCATGAACGAGCAATGAGCAGAGCATGCAAACACATGAAGGAAGATGGGCTCAGACGTTGACGGCGTAGCATGGTACTGTGAATTGTCCAACTGTGCGACCAGGAAAGAGTTGTTGGGGCGACATGTGCCGCTTCGTGGCTAGAATTCGGGATGGTAACCAAAAAAAAAAAAAATAAAGAGAGAGAGAGAGAGAGAAGGCAGGCCTTGATCATGCTGGAGGCTGTTCAATCACGCCGCCTTGTTGCCGCGAAACCGGGTGCGCTGGTCCAGCTAGACGCGGCGATTCTGAGATGAGCCCAATCCTTCAGGCAAGCAGGTTGCTGCCCGCACAGTTGAGTGTGAGTTCCAAGCAAGCACGTACCATGCCGCGCTTGCATTCAAAAAAAAGCTGTTGCACGCGACGACAGTCATCCGGAACACCCTCGGCCTCCCACTGCGCGCACTCGTTCCCCGACTTGCCCATCTACAGGACAATGTTTGCGTCAACGCCGTGAGTGTGCAGTGCGACGAGTTGAAAGAGTTGATCGTTGCTATTCTTCGGTCCTTGAAGTCACCACCGACTGTCCCGCAGCCATGGTCTCACCTTGGTCATGCAGTCGCTCTGCGCTAGGCAGTCGCGGAAGCGCTCTCGCAACTCAGAGCAAGACGACGACATGGTGCCAGTATTGCCTACGGCCCAATCCCCTGCAGCACAGCAGCGCGTAGCAATCCAACACACCCAGTATCCTCCGTGTCTTGTGCTGCCTCGCAATCTCCAGAGGCACCCGCGCTGCCGTTTTCGTTACGCGCACGAGAGAGAGAGAGAAACGAGTCAGCAGAGCGAGAAAGAGAAAGTGTGTGTGTAAGCAAGCAAGAGGAAAATGTCAGAAGTTTCATGGTCGGGGGCACTTTGCACGTTGGGACTTGCGGTTGAGGCTGGACGGGCAATGGCGCAGCTGGCGGAGGAAGTGGAGGTGCGGGCGCAGGTTGGCCCGGCGGGGGGTGGACAAGATGGAGGGCTGGGTGTGGCTCTGGGCGAGCAAGCCGCTGTGAGCGCCATTGCTGGCAACGTCAGCCTTGAGTCGACCCACACCTCGGAGCAAGAATGCTCCGAACCGGAGCACGTGGCCGTGCCGCTTTGCATCGTGGGCGCTGGCCAGCATTCGCTCTGCTTGGTGGCCAAGATATTGGAGACCGTTCAAGAAGCTGCCGAGGTATTGCCATGCTGGGCGTCTCTTTGCCAATCATCACATTGGGTGCTCAACCTCAGCCGGCATCTTGCAGGAGTCCCCGTGGAATGAGGGCCTGTTCAAGCACGACACGCAGCGCGGCCGCGTCATTCCCATCCATCCCAAGTTTCCGCCTGCCAGGTTGGGTTCCGGTAACACCCATCAATCGACAGCAACAAACAGGATGCAAGGACACCCTTGCCATCTCTCACTCTTGCCGTCTTGCTGGTGACCTTATTTGCTCCCATTGCTCATAGATACTTTCTGTCCAAGACAGCCATCCGCAACGGTACGAGCCAACGCCTGCGCGCAAGCGAGCGTATCTCCTTTTCCAGTTGTCGTTTGCTTGCAGAGCTTACCGTGTTTGCTTCTCCCTGCAGCTATCAACAAAGCTCGTGCCTCTGGCCTCGATCACAGGCAATGGTTGCAGCACATGCGCGTATGATGCGTGTCTACAAAAAGCTACCGTTCCCCGACGCGCTCGTTGGCGTCTGATATTTGCTTCGGCTGCTGCCTTTTTTTTTTTTTTTTTTGAAATTTTTGTTTTAGATAATCGATCCCCACGGATGCTGGATCGAGCGTTGGCGGCGGCAGTTTGCAGCACTGCGCATCCCACAGCTGCGCTCGGCCTCCAACGCGCACGCCGATCCTGTCGACCAGCACAGGTATGCCCGCTTCGGCACGCTCGACGAGCCAGCCAGGCTTGCAATCACACGCCCACTTAACCTTGTTGGATTCACGCATCTCAGCATGCGGCTCTTTGTGGAAGACCATCACATTCGGCACGAGTTCTCCCTTATTTCACTGGATCGCACGCAAATTTACAACGGTCCCTTTGAAGTACCATCGACCCCGGTACGCCTGCTCAGACCACTGCTGCCATTGTCGTCGTACCCTGTCGTGTCGTCGTCGTACCCTGTCGTGTCGTCGTTGTACCCTGTCGTGAAAAGCAAACAAATGAATTAACACCCCCCCCATCCCCCCTTCTTCCTTGGGTCGATCAAGGTTTTTGAGCGATTCAGCCGCACTATTATCCAGCGCTATCACCTCGAGGATGCTGTTACAGAGGGGCTTGTCACCAAGCTAGAGCCAGCACCGCCGACTGACGACGGCTCGCCTCGTTGTCGTGTTACTACGGCCGACGGCCGAACCGTCGACGCTGAACACGTGGTTCTTGCATTGGGAAGCTTAGATGTGAAAAACATCCCGCCCTGGGCTCAGGATTTCTATGGTCGGGCCCCTCCATCACAGCTGATACACGCCTCCGACATCATGACAGCTGCCAATTGGGATGTACCAACAGACGCCCACGTTGTGATTGTTGGCGCGGGTCTGACCGGTGGACATTTGGTTGCGCGCGCATTGTCTGAAGGTACGGTCTCAACCTCCTTGCCGCCTCGCCTGGTGACCAAGACGCTTGACAACCTAGTGTTCCTGTGGATAGCCCACGTTTCCTTGACCCCAACTATGCCTTTTCCGCATTAGGTGCCGCACGTGTGACGTTTATTGCTCGACGAGAAGTCAACATCAAGCAGTTTGATCTCGATCTCGAATGGATGTCGAATCGTCGCAATAAACATCTTGCCGGTTTCTGGTCCCTCGATGACGAGCAACGGATTCGCATGCTGCGCCGCGTCAAGGGTGGTGGCAGCATTTCTCCGGAGGTGTGGGCTCGTATACAAGCTTTTGTGAACGAGGGTACTTGTCAAGTTTTAGAGGAAACCGATATTGCATGTCTTGAACTCGAAACGGGGCGACCGACCCTGTATTTTGCCGATGGCGAGGAGCTCGAGGCGGACCTCATCATCCTGGCTACAGGCACAGTGGTGCACGCCGAGCGCCACCCGTTGTTGTCCCAACTGCAAACCCACTGGCCGATTGAACTTTGCCCAACTTCGGGTCTCCCCAAACTCACGGCACGTCTTCAGTGGCGCGCCGATGTACCGGTGAGAGGAACCGGGTGGCGTCTTTTCTGTGGCTCATCTTTTGGTTTGACATATTTCTTGCTGACATGCGGTGACCATGCAAACTTTGTTTCACGCCTAGGTCTATGTGATGGGCGAGTCTGCAGCACTTCAACTTGGTCCAGGTGCCGTCAATCTGATGGGTGGGCGTGCTGGAGCAGCACGCCTGGCTGATCACTTGCGAACCCACCTTCTAGCTGCTATGCAAGCACAAGACAGCAGTTTCCAGGATGGGTCCAGCAACAAAGCCGAAATGTCTTAATCGAGTCTTTTTTTGAGTGGTTTTTGGATGAAATTGGCCCGTTGGGCAGGATTTTCTGCAAAGTGGAAGCAGACATTCCTTGGCCGGACGGGGGAAGCAGTCTGATTTTCACACATTCACAGCACACGAGGCAGATGATCACAAGGCCCTCGATTCCACTGAGTGAGGCAAAGGCACGGGCCACAAGATCACAAAGATAAATTCACGCCTGGCTTAGAACCGAAATACACGACAGGCTATCTAATGGACTGGCAGGTGCCCAAGCCTTCAAACACAATGTCAGCCTCCGTCACATTCAAGTTGCAGCTTGCACCAATTACAACTGTCATACCCACGGAACTGAGGTTACTCAGTCGTCAGCCCGTTTTGCTACAAGGACATGTTACCAGGCAATCCTATTCCAAGCACCCGCGTCTTCCGAAATAACTGATGCTACCTTGCTACGACAAGGGATGAATATTTGTGTCACAGCACTGATCAAGGGTATCAATCAAAACAATGGAAATTTGAGATGATAATCCGTGTAGCGGTAGCTGCATGAGGGATTTGGGGATCAGAGGCCTTTACCAGTCATGGACAGCAGACATACGAGCCGCAATCACCATGGTTCGCGAGCGTCCTTTAGGTGTGTGCCTGCTTGCTCGCATCAAGTGTCGCAATGTGAAAAATCGCTTCGAAAAAAACTTTGGTTGATTAGCAAAAGGCTTGTGAGCAAGAGGATGTCATCTTTTTTTTTCTTCTTTTTTTGCGATCCAACGATCCATCGTGCGATCGCAACGATCCGGCTTTCGCCTGGTTGGAGCTCTGGCTCTGGCTTGCAGCCTTCCACATCGCTAGATCGTGTGGTAAACTAGATTCAGGCGAAAGGTAGTGGATGCTGCTGCTTTGGAATGTAAACGGATCGTCACTCTTGGCCTGTTCGTCATGACGCGTCGCGTCTTGCTTGTTAAGCTGAATAAATCTGACTGGGCCTTCTTCCTAGAGGGGCAAGACTGATGATCCACCATGGCTTCGGACGGAGAGCAGCTGCTCAAGGCGTGTTGTTCATTGGATCCACAAGAGGCGCTGCGGCTGATGCACAGTTGGGACGACGAACAACGCATTCGATCTGCCGCGGCTTTCAGAACTACTGAGGTACGTCTGTTCTTGTACCATCAGACATCGCAACATCGATTGGAAATTGTTTACCGCCTTATGAAGCGTCACGGCATGCTGACGCACAGGAAGCGGGAGCGCCTGTGCACTCTGCATGCCACAACGGGCATGTGGCTGTTCTGAATGCGCTACTGCAGCACGGTGCTGACGCTGACGCTCGGACCCACGTCGGTACCATGCTACATCTTTACTGATGAGCTATGTTGTCACAGATTAACTTGAGCTCAATCCGTGTCTACACTACAAACCCATAGAATGACACAACACCGCTCCATCTCGCATGCCTACGCGGTCATTTGGAGATTGTGAATGCGTTGTTGCAGCATGGCGTCGACCTCAAAGCGCAGACACACGTTGGTACCTTGCAGATGCTCTACGATTGAATGGTGTTGTTTTGGATTGAAATGTGCACCAACGCAACGAATCAATAGGATCGCATAGCACCGCTGCACCTCGCGTGTCAAGGCGGTCATATCGCGATTGTGGATGCGCTATTGCAGCATGGCGTTGACCCTGGAACTCCGACCCACGTCGGTACCTCGTTGTTTCTCACCTCATTGGGGACGAATTGCGTTTGATTTGAGCTCACTTCATACCGGCACTCCTGATTCATAGGACGGCACAGCACCGCTGCACCTTGCGTGCATAAACAATAATTTGATGATTGTGAATGCGCTGTTACAGCATGGCGTTGACCCTGAAGCGCGGACCCACGTTGGTACCTTATTTGTGCATGCCCAACCCGTGTGGTCTTGGTAGTTGTTGTCATCATGGGTCGATGAAACCACAGGATCACACAGCACCGCTGCATCTTGCGTGCCGAGGCGGTCATCTGGAGATTGTGAACGTGTTGTTGCAACATGGCGTGGACCCTGGCGCGCAGACCCACGTTGGTACCCTGTTATTTCTTTATTCGGTTGCGCTTGGACACGAGCCGTGTGGTTTTGGGTAGCATCGGCCTTATAGTCATCGTTGGCTACGAAACCATAGGATCACACGACACCGCTGCACCTTGCATGCCGAAGCGGCCATTTGGAAATTGTAAATGTGTTGCTGCAGCATCGTGTCGACCCTGAAGCGCAGGCCTACGTCAGTCGTGCAACGGCCGCCTGAGCTCTTTTGTGTTGTGTCAACCGTACACTCACTGCAATCTGGCATCACAAACTTTACAGAATGGCCTCAGGCCTCTTCACCTTGCGTGCGAATACGGACAAGTGACGGTGGTGGAACTGCTGGCTGGACTCGATGTCGAGCTTGAAGCCCGAGATCAGGTCAAGCTTTGCGAGTTGATTTCACCTTGTGCGTGCTGTCAGAGAAATTTCAGTTTGACTTGGACATATTTGAAGATCACCGATTAATGTGCTTTGGTGTATGTTACAGAACGGCAAGACGGCGCTTCACTTGGCTTCGAAATTTGCCAACGTCACTGATGTATTGGTGACACATGGGGCAGACGTTGATGCAGTTGACACGGTTGGTTGATCATAGAATTTGCCTTCGTCTTCACATTTTGGATTGATGGCAACATGCTTAGTACTTCACGTCAATGCTGCTTCACAACGCCTGCCTCTCATCTTGCTTCACTTGTTCATGTGATTTTATTGTTCGCTGATGGCGCCCGCTGTGGTTCTAGACAAATGCTAGCCCACTCGATCTTTGCCTTAATTATTTCGGATACGACGAGAGACTAAGAAACGTTGGTTCAAGATTTTCTCACAGATGTTCGGGCCAGTCACCCATCTGTCTGGCTGGGTGTCTGGCTATTTGGCTATTTACCTACCTGCCTGCCTGCCTGGCCTGTTTGGCTGTGCGTCTGTCTCTGTCTCTGTCTCTGTCTCGGTCTGACTGTCTGACTGTCTCTGTCTCTGTCTCTGTCTCTGTCTCTGTCTCTGTCTCTGTCTCTGTCTCTGTCTCTGTCTCTGTCTCTGTCTCTGTCTCTGTCTCTGTCTCTGTCTCTGTCTCTGTCTCTGTCTCTGTCTCTGTCTCTGTCTCTGTCTCTGTCTCTGTCTCTGTCTCTGTCTCTGTCTGCTTGCTTCTGCCAGTGTATCTGTCTCTCTGTCTCTTCGCATGCCTGCCTGCCTGCCCGCTGGGTGCCCAGGTACGCTGACTCCTCATGTGCAAGTGAACTGTGTGTCACTTGGTATTAGGTGGTAATTAAGATGCTACGTGCCAGCCGTCGGCCCGAATCATACCGCAGCCCAGATCGATCAGGTATGATTGTTCCTAATCATTCTTACTTGATGAGTGATGAATGACGCTTATCGCCTCGCATGCATTGATCGCGAAAAAATCATTACAGTGCAAGCCCTCGTTCTGGCCGAGCTCAAAAGGCGACGCAAGACTTTGATGGCAATTCTCTTCAGCATTGGTTGGCGTCAGAGTCCTAATGTCTTTGAGTCACGTGCGCACAACGACTTGAATAGGATTTTGGCGTGCTATCCCCAACCATGAACTCAAGCGCCTGAGCATCTTGAACATGAAACATCATCAAAATGATTTTCGTCTTTCTGACCTTTGCTTGAAGGTTGAGACACAAGGTGATGACGATGGATTTGCTGTTTCTGCATCGTGCGCTTATGTCATGTCCGAAATAATCGTTGATTTTCTTTTGAAATTCAAGGTATTGGACGAAAATCATATTCCCATGTCTCAAAGCTGGCGGATGACACCGGGAGGGGAAAGGGGTTATCACACGCACAGAGAACCAAGACATTCCAAGACAACACCCATGGAATGCGGCTTACACGTGTTCACATGGACACCATAGAGCCTTGATGTATCACAACACTTGAATATGATCATCATGTCACTGTGGCTATCAGATCCTCTCCCTCGGAAGCGTCCTGCAGACTCGGTGATCAATGCCACCATTTGGGCAGCCAAGACGGTCATTTGTAGCGCCGAGAAGAGTTAATGAGTCGCTGTTTGTTCCCTTTGGATGCCAGTTGCCATGAACTGAAGCAGGCTCGCCCCTGAGACTCCGCCACTTCGGGCTAATCATCGAGGGCAGCAAAACAGTCAACCGGTCAGAGGCGTTCATGGTGGCGCTGATGGCCATGTACGTCAACGCGAGACGGCCTCACTCTCCTCGGGTTACGCACGACCGACAAGTGTCAAAGTCAAGCCAGGCCAGGCAGCTACCAGCAGTTCCCCAAGACGGCGAGGATCAAGCAGGAGCGATTCGTCGTGGCAGATCCACCCAAGACGACAAGGGCATCTTTCTGCCAGCAACGTGGCTCGCACGGCTGATTCAGAAGGCAACGAAGGCGGGCAAGGACAAAGCCTTCAACGGAATCACGTACAAAGGGTTCACTGAGGAGCTTGATCTAGCCCTTAAGGAGCACTGCACAAACATTGACCACGCAAGGATGAGGCCGGGATCGGTGTGCCACGACGCAGCGACAGAGATGAGGGCCGTGGGCCGTAGCATCGCCGAATTGAAGCAGCTCAGCCGCTGGAAAACTGAATCCATTACGCCAAGACACTGCGCGCAGCGTCCGTTGGGCTGGAGTCATCGCCCGAGGTGTGCGGACGCTGACATGGCCAGCGAGAACTCAGCCCTCAGACAGAGGGATCGCCAATCACACTGAAGAGTCGCCATGGGTTGTCGTGAATTCATCGTTAAAACGGGAAACATCCGTCTCATCTTGTCCTCGCACAGAAAACAAAAACAAAAAGGTTTGACATGTGATTTTTGCATTTTTTCCTTTGTCTGCCATTCGCTTGCAAGTGTTTCCTTTTTTTGCTTTTAAGCTTTTTTCGTCTTTCCCCTCTTGGGCATCGGTCTCGACGTCGGCATCGGCGGCCGCTTGATCTCTTGCTCTGTATGGTGACTGATCGCTTGTGCTTGGTACGGGACTCTCCTGGTCGAAGCCTTGTGGCGACGCCAGAACGTGGGTTGAGAGCTGCCCCCGCCCCCCTTTTCTTTCCCGTGGTGAGGCTTCTCACTTCACAGTCAAAAGCGTGTGCTTGGGCAAGCAAGTACACCTGCCCTCGCAACTGCCACCCAAAAGTATTGGCTTGAGGTGAGTCTCTTGACGCACCAGGCAGAGAAGAGCTCAGAGCCCGCTGACCGGCTGCCGTTTTGGAAACGGCGCGCGCATGTCGAATCCCAGTCCGATGGAGGGGGCTCATGAGCTTGGTGGTGGCTAGAGGCAAGAAAGCGGGTTTGAAGCGGATCGTGCTGGAGACATACAGTTACCATGAGTGATGATCGATTTCAGCTGTACTTTGCGTGTCGTTCATCAGATCCACAAGAGGCGCTGCAGCTGTTGACCAGTTGGGACCACCAACGAATTCGAGATGCTGCCCAACACAAATGTTATGTACGTATGCTGTTTGACATGCTGTTGTGTAAACTTGGTTACACTTTTAATCTGAATGAGACGTTATGGTATAACTTGGGACGTTGACTGCATAAATGCATCATCCCACAGGATGGCTGGACACCACTACACAGGGCCTGCGGTAACGGTCATGTCAAGGTGGTGGAGATGCTGTTGAAGCACGGTGCTGATACTAAGGCCAAGAACGACGTTAGTACAGTACCTCCCTGATCGTGCATCTGTACCACATGTTGATGCTGATGAAGACGCTGGACCTGAACGTCATGCTGATGCATCATCCCACAGGATGACCAAACACCGCTGCACGAGGCCTGCATTAGGGGTGATGTCAAGGTGGTGGAGCTGCTGTTGAAGCACGGTGTTGATACTGCAGCCACAGACAACGTCAGTACAGTGCCTCCCTCTTCGCCCCTTCTGGCTGCTGCTCCTGCTCCTCGCTGCTCGTTGCCTTTGCCCCATCTCTCTCTCTCCTCTACACCCCCTGCGCACCCGTGCCCGTCTGTTCTGTCTCTTGCTCCTTTTCTTCTTTCCCGCTATCCCTCTTCTTCATCCGGTTTGCGCTCGCACGTTGTCGGTGCACCATGCCCCCCTGCTTTGTACTGCTGTATTTTCCGCCCGCTCCCCCTTTGCTTGATGTTGTGACTTAAGGGTCAAGGTGGTGAAGATGCTGTTGAAGAACGATGCTGAAGCTAAAGCCAAGAACAACGTCAGTACCTTTCTCATCCACTCCACCCCCCCTCTGGCTGCTGCTGCTGTTCCCGTGCACGTCGCCTTTGCTCCATTCTTCTCTCCTCTACACCCTGCCCACTGTGTGCACTCCGTTCTTGCGCTTGTTCCTTTTCTGCTTGTTCCGCTGTATCTTCCACCCGCTTTCCTTTTCTGATGTTGTGACCTCAATCGGCGCACTACCTTCCCTTGCCATAGCGCCCCTGCCTCCCTCGCACGTTCGAGCGGCTTTCCGTGTTGTTTCTTCAGCTTTTTGACGCTCACTATCACCCACCCACGCCCCCTCTTTAAAAAAAAAAATGCAAACACGCCCCATGTTTCCAAACATTGGTTACTATATAGGACGGTCAAACGCCGCTCCATGCAGCCTGCACTGCCTTCTCTACCAGCCGAACGGTTGTCGACCAACTCTTGCGTCACGGTTTTAGGATATGATCTGTTTGTGGTCAATTCACAAGGCAAACAGAGGAAATTGAAACGGGAAAGGTACAAAGTAAAATGCCACTTCCGGTCTACAGAACCGTACTTATATCTCGGTGGCAGGAACAATCACAATGTTCTACAGGCTTCCTTGACGAGCGCTGTCAAGGATCATCAGACATCATCCTGGACTGGTATCTTCCAGAGTGTTCCAGCAGCTTCTGGACATACGTCTATGCTTGTAGTCCAATACACGGTGTGGCTTGTGTGGATGAGAAGGCCAGCGGATCGGTGCCATGGGGTGTGTTTGTGAGCATCTGATGTGATGTGTTGGTTCTCCGGCTGTTGCAGGACAACGACGCCCTGACCAACGTGAACGGCCTTGGTAGTATCACCAGCGTGGGCGGTTACCTGAACTTTTGTTCAAACTCTCAACTCGACACATCAATGATACCTGCCTCTGTTCGATCATTGGGCACATGCCAACTCACCACGAGCGGAGGTTGCAGCTCTTGTTGAACTGCTGCAAGGTATTGCTAGCTCTTTGATAAAGTTCTGGGTTTCGGCTACAAGCGGAGTGTGTTAATTTGACTACAAGCATCGACCGCCCTCGAGAGGAATTTGCCAGTGATCATTCCGGGGGCTGCTCGTTGAGGGATCATTTTGTCAACCGCGAATTTGTCATGCCACCGGACCGTACTTGAATCTTGGTGGCAGGAACAATCACAATGTTCCACAGGCTTCCTTGACGAGCGCCGTCAAGGAAAATCAAACATCATCCTGCAGTGGTTGAGCACGATAGCAGGACTGGTATCTCCCAGTATGTTCCAGCAGCTCCTGGACATACGTCTATGCTTGGAGTCCAATACCGAACGATGCAGTGCTTGTTGATCATTCTGTTGACGGCCACAGTCTGTTTGATCTGACTTTGTTTTGAATTTATTCTGAATTTGTTCGCCTTAATCGAGTCAAACAATGGATCTTGGCCTTGAGAAAACGACGGCTCATCTTCGATTCAAACAACAGTCATATTTAAGCCACAGCACACAGGTGCAGGAGACTGTGGGCACGCAACTTGGTGCTGACGATGGCATTGACAACATCATCGACGAGCTGTGTGTTGACGTGGTGGAGGTAGCGGTGTCCGCGCCAGTCGTGGTGCCGCAAGTCGGGCATCAGACTGTTTCGTCAGCTGCGCGTAAGACACAAGCTTGGGCTGAAGAGCGCCGTAGAAAAGCTCGCGGGCAAGGATCAGCCCTCTAACTGTGCTACGCTTTCCAAGCCACTGGCGTCAAGGCGCAGCTCGAACGATCATTGCAGCGTTGGCCAAGACAGCCCGGATCGAAAGCCTTTAGATCTCGGAGTTAGGGCGGCTGCTGTTTTGAGCGGCAAAGAAGCCACGTAATCGGTCTGTCGCGCTTGCCAGCCAGTTGCACATTCCAGGAAAGGCTGCGGAGCGAACGCGAGACATGCTCACGGTGATCGTGCGTCCTGTGCTTCTTTTTGTCTTTTTGTGCTCGCGCTGGCTTGCGGCTCGACGTCCTCATGGCGGAAATGGCGGTCCAGACTGTCTTGGCTGCTCGTGCCGTGCCGCTGAACACCGATATTCGAGGACGCGTTCAG